AGTTTTGCGTCGACCTATAGATGCAATCAAAAGCACAACAAAATTGGCATTTATTAGCGATTTTGTATTCAATGAAAGAAAGAGAGAAATCTTATTAGAAAGAGATGCGGATTCGCTTCACATGTCTTAAGTCAAAACTATGGGAAAAACACTCCAAGAGAAAGAGGCGGTACTCATGAGTGCGAAGACATAAACCTCTGGTGAAGTGTTATGTAGAGCTGAGCAGACAATGTCTGCCAAAGTATGACATTTGGTGTGAAGACTCTCTCAGTGTATGTGCGCTGAAAAGGCCATTCACCACATGGGGTGGCACTCAAACCCCACACCAAATACAGGCCATAACTATCGGCTCATTATATGAATGCAAAAACACATATCAAAGTGACAAACAATACAAGACTTTTATGACCAAAAACTCTGGCATTTTAAGTGCATTTCGACTAAAAAAAAACACTACAAATTCAGTGAACATATAACATATAAGTGCCCCAAAAGTCTCACTGTCTATAAGAATACACATAAATATTAATAATTCCCAACATTTTTGTTATCAAAACAAAAGTTATATTAATTTTGAAAATTTATGAAAAATAGATGTTTACATAAAAATTACTCAAATTTGCATTTTTTTGACTTCATTTCAAAATACAATTTCTATTAATACTAATAATTATGTCTAAAAAACATTAAATAAATGTCAAAATCCATGTCTTCAGACATATTATAAATTATGGCTAAAAAGCAGTCAATTTATCTGCGAATTGATTTCAAAAGTTGTGTCTTAAGACATGAGATCAAAGACACGTTAGAAGCAAAGCATATATGGATGTAATGGATGTGATAACAAGACAATTACCCCTTTCATCGATTCCTTGACGTGACGTTTGGGCCGAAAGATACCATTCCTGTGGTCTTTGCGGTCTATTTGATGGCAAAATCAATTGATCCACAATTAGTACATTCATTACAATTGCAATTAAAGTGATTTGAGTCAATCAAATGCAGACAATTATGGTCTGCGGACTTACTCTGGTTATGATTGGTGTGATTCTTGGACTTAGCCATCGCTGGTGTGACTATTAAGTGGTTATTAAATCCAGATATCAATCAAACGATTGGTTTTTCAAATACAATAACCAAAAGGGAAGCGGATGTGAGACAAGCGTTGAACACAACACTAGTGCTCATAAATTACGGCACAAATGGATTCAACGATACGTTTATAGGGTTAAGACGCTTATGGCATGGGAATGGCATTTAGGGAATATTCCTGGCATTTATTGGCATTTATCGGGCGTTTATTTTGGCTGCCAAATATATGCCTAACCTTTGTTACTTTGTGTTTTTCTCAAAAACTACAAATGTTATTTAAATTAAAAGTTTTTCAATGTGTTGCCACTGTGTTTGCGCGCATTTTAAGCCATCAAACATAGATGTCAGACCTACTGATAAGTCGGTAGATTTATTCAAAAGTGATGCCCTATGAGTGCTACATGTATAAGAAATTCAAGATGGCCGGACAATGTTTTCAATGAATGTTATTGTATAAATAACTTCATGCGAGAAGTGTTGATGATTTGCCAGCGGTCGCGGACTCAGAGCCACCATCAACAACACTAATTTGTTGCCATTGAGTGCTAATTTTGTTCATACAATTAATTTTAGACTCAATGCTACTACTCTGATTGACATTCAATGTATAAATATATGTAAAAACCATATGTTGTATGAAATTAATTAAATAATTAAATAAAAATTAATGTTTAATCTAATGTACAGTATCTAATGTTATGTCGATGCCGATGGTAAACATTATAGTCATTACTCAACCTAATATGAGTATTTACTGTACGGCCACCGCCGGTGTTAAACACTATACCCACTAATCATACTGTTATGTGTATGTACTGTACGGCCACCGCCGGTGTTAAACACTATACCCACTAATCATACTGTTATGTGTATGTACTGTACGGCCACCGCCGGTGCTAAACATTATACCCAGTAATTAAACTAATCAACTGTATGATATGAACTGTCAGTTAATATATAACATTGAACCGCCGGTGTTAAGCACTATTCCCACTAATCATACTGTTATGTGTATGTACTGTACGGCCACCGCCGGTGTTAAGCACTATTCCCACTAATCATACTGTTATGTGTATGTACTGTACGGCCACCGCCGGTGCTAAACATTATACCCAGTAATTAAACTAATCAACTGTATGATATGAACTGTCAGTTAATATATAACATTGTTTATTGGATCCAATCAATTGGTGCACTGAGTCCGCGACCGCTGGCTGTTGTGGTGCAAAACACTGTGTTTTGTTATCAATTAACAAACAGCTCTGGGTTTGAAATAAGCCCCAAAGTCTATTATTGGCTGTTAGTTTCATATGATAGTGACGTGTACTTCTGAATGTTATACACTTAAGTGGTGCTGCCATCTATTGGTACCAGTTTTGAGGGAGTTTATCGGGAATATTCCCACTGGGAATGCTCCCGACAAGGCATTTATTTTTATAAACTCCTTTTTTAATATCACTAACCAAAAGTTATATCAATTCAATTGATTATCACTTAATTATTGGCCAAATCATCGCAAGTAATGATTAATTAGATATTATTTGTCGTATAAATTCATAATAAATATAAAAGCAATTAATAATTAACTTTTAATTAGTTATTAAATACATAACAATATGAAGACATAATTAATGGTGAAAAGTGTGCAAAACATACGGTTTATAAAGCGTTGAAATGTTTTGTTTATATTTTTGTTGATTTAATTCAGAAATCAATGTAAATGTCATTCAAGTGTTTGTCACTCAACACAACCCTTATTATCATTGCATAGAAGTGTAGTCTTAGTGGACAAGAATCGGGTGATGGACTCAATCCCATCGCTGGCCAAAGAGGCAGTTCTGGTGAAGAGTCACGCGAAGTGTGCGGACAATGACTCGTCGGTGGATCAGAACGGAAGACACGCATCGATGGCATCCATTCTGGACTCATATCCCACTCAAGTGATGGGCTATGACTTCAACCAAGGGATCAATCACTCGGCGCTACTCCAGACATATCTGACCACCGGTTTCCAGGCGACCAACTTTGGACTCGCTGTACAACAGATCGAGACTATGGTAAACACGTGTCATATTGTTTTCGGCCGTTCATTAATCTCTGTTTGCAATGATAGCTGAAGAGTCGCGACGAGCCATACGAAGAGGACCTCTTGGAAAGCGATCCGTTTATTCGCCGAAAGAGCGGATGCACTATATTTCTGGGCTACACATCAAACATGATATCTAGTGGTGTGAGGGATACCATCAGGTTTCTGGTCCAACACAAAATGGTGAACCCATTGTCTTTGTTGTTATCGATTTTGTCATCTTTTCAATGATGAATTGATCTCTAGATTGATTGCATTGTGACCACCGCTGGCGGCGTAGAGGAAGACATAATCAAATGTTTGGGTGAGACATATGTCGCCGACTTTAACATAAGCGGCAGTCGTTTGAGAGACGAAGGGGTCAACAGAATCGGCAATCTATTGGTTCCGAACGATAATTACTGTAAGTTTGAGAATTGGGTTCAACCGGTTCTCAACCAATTGCTGAGCGAACAGAAAGACAGCCAACAGATAT